CAATTATTGCAGAATACTGTTCTCTGGTGTCTATTTATCATGTACACAAAACCCAAGAAAAATCAAGAGTGGGGAAATATGTTTTTGGGGTGTCCAAAAGGGTCCCAAAGCTTTGTTTTCAGCAAACTACACAAAACAGTTGTAAGAAGATAGCACCGTTGCTATGTAAACAAACAGCTGTCAACTGCCAAGCTCCTGTCAAAGTGGACCAAATCTGGGTATGTATGAATAAAATTGAACACAGAAATTTACCAAATGCATATAAATAACCCTCAGATGCAATATCCACATGTTAAGCATGGACATATATTAAATAAAAATAGAAGAATGTGACTTTGCAACCACTAAGCAGAAACATGATGACAGTGCCAAACTATCAATGTTATATTCTGCAAGTATGATTTTAACTTACAGTTACAAAGTTACATGCAGTACAAATAATAGCCATATACTGGCAAGTTAATTCTGGGCTAGTTTTTACACACATTAGAGTCAAATCAAAGACTTCAAGATCTTTTTTCATGGTGTTACTATAAATAGACTGCAGCCATCTATGTTTACTTTTCATAATTAGTTGTTTATATTGAATTATAACCTCACTACAAGGTACATAGCACTTATTGATATTATACATCAATTATGCTTGCCTAATTGATTAACATTAGTCCCCAAAAGTAATTATGTTTCAAGTTAATAAAAAGCCTGTATTGATGCCGAGGTCAAGGTCAAACACTGCAGAAAATATTTTCTTGACAACAAATTATAGATATGTGTATGTCAAAACCCTTCAGATGTAAATGTACTGTTTTACTTAGAATATCACCTGCAAAAATATTTTTGATAGTGTTATCTTTTATGGAACTATATAATTCAGGAATATTTTACTTATTAGGTGATATTTCAATACATATTTCAAGTGAAAGAGTTTATATTCTCCATTGAAACCCAGTATATCAATGCAGATAGTTTGAGATAATGTTACAAAACTACAAAACATGTGCAACAAACTTGCATGTTAAACAACCAGTAAAGTTTTATGTTTGAAGTTTAGATGAAATATCATTTCATTTCCACTGTTCTTTAAGTGAATATACATAATATGCATTCTATTTATTGATTATTAAAACAGAAAGTTGTTTGTAATTTACCATGTCAAAATATGCTTATTTGTATTTATTTTTACTCCATGCAGATGTTTTGGGAAAATATCGAGTGTACTATGTATCTCAGTAAGTGAAATATATAAGATGTGAAACAGGTTTATATATATTTTCTAAATAATAATTGGCCACAGAATATGTATTACCATGTCCAAATATGCCTATGTTTAATCATAAGTTTAATTGATTTTTTTATTTTCTTTACAGATATGTTTCGATCTCCAACATGACGTGTCATTTGTCACAATGGTTCAGGAGAAGTGAAACTAAGAGGCAAGGGTTTGAACACTCTACTCAAAGTATTAACTCTTTGTAATGATTCTTTACAATCAACTCTTTAATAAATTTTTTTTAACTTTGTCCATGAAAAATGCAGAAAGTCATACTCAGCATAATCGACCATACTGAAAGCTCACAAAATAGACATCAATGAAAATACCCAGCCATGTGTATTGAGATCAGGGAACAGTACTTTAACAACTACTGAACTCACTGCCTTATTTATGCAAATGGGAGTGATTTGGAAGACCTTCAATAACATCCAAATAGAAATTCAGCAATCAGCAATATCAATATTTTCAGCAGAGGGAAAAAAGTATTCTGCAAGAGACCGTTCTCAACTTCTGTGAGAGAAGATCTTCGATGATAAGGCAGTTGATGTTCCAGCTGGTAACATTGGTGCAGTTGAGGCAACATACCACAGACATTGCATGGAGTGTTTTTTGCATGAGCATGAAAGGACAGCAAGGACAAACTCTGAGGATTCAGCAAGAAACATTAAGAACACAGCCTTCAGTTCCTGGTGTGAGCTGCTGCCAGAAAGTATGCAGAATGGAAAGCTGTACACTCTACAGTAGCTGTTGGATCTGTATGCTGCTGATCTGCTTACTGGGATCTCACCCTACAGTCTGAAGCATTTTAAACGCCGCCTCCTTTAGTATTTTGGATCAAGGATCACTATTGCAGAAGTAGAGGGGAGACCAAGTGTTGTGACCTTGACAGACATGAATCATGAATCATGAATCATGAATCACAAGTTGATAATACAGCCCATGAAAATCTCAAACAGCTTCATGTGCAACTGCTTGAACTGAAAGATCAGAAGAAATCACCATCAAGGACAAGTAAGCTGTGGCTGATGTTTATGGACTTTGTTTCCATTGTAAGGATGTTTATAAGAGCAGAGCGCACTGGGAACTGGCAGTTACATCTGAAAGCAACCAACAGGAGGCATGTTACCCCTGTTTGCAGCATCTGGACACAACAACTATGCCAAATTCTGCACATTGTATCTTCAGGATTGTCTTTGTCTGTGCTTGTCTGAAAGTAATTATGGAAGCTGGTCTGTTTACAATCAGAAGAAACCCAAAGCAATTATGGAGTGACACTTAAGGAGAGACATAGTCATAGAGCAATGTCTAATCAGAGCAGGCAAAATTCATGGAGACTTAATCAACATCACCCACAAGGATGCAGCATGAACCAAATAACTGCTCTCTGCACAAATATGACAGGGATGACATTTGGAAAGGTGTTGAAGAAGGCATCACAAGTAGTCACATTTGATTTACCACCATGAAGAAGTGTGTCTGCCTATCAGACGGGGCACAGCCGAAGATGTCATCAATGGAGCTGTGTCAGCGATTACTATCAATAACTCTTGTGAGTGGTCCTCCATCTCCAGATGTCTTCTCATTTGAACTTGCAGCAGTGTCACCAGCTTTCTTCCATGATGATGGATCCATGAGAAAATGCCCAAGTCTGTCCTGGCCAGATATCTGCTTACACATTACCGGTACCACAAAGAAGAAGAACACACACAACACCAGGCGTAGTCGTTGGATGTGCACTTCTCCAGCATATACCATGGCCAAGGATTGGTACCATTGCTGACATATGCAAGATCTATGTTGATAGTGTCATGCACAGAACAACACAGAAGTGGATGACACAGATGAAGCGGATGACACAGATGTCTTGGTGGCACTGATTTATCACAGCAAACATGCAACCAATCTATTCATGAAGTCACAGTAACAACTTATATCTATAAATAGTTGGTTGCAATGGGCGAGCGATCTAAGACGCCAGGCTAGTGATCCAGCGAGCTTAAGGTGCCGGGATCGAGCCCACCTGGAGTCAACTTTGTGTACAGACTCTTTCAGTGTTGTCACAACCCCTAGTGTACAGTACACAACCCTGTACACTTAAAAGAACCCACGAATCTGTTGGTATATGACCAGATGGTGTCCGCATGAATACGTGCAAACACCAAGTTGCGGGTACAGCAACATGCACTAAACTTGGACAACGTACTGTGACTATGTGTCCCAGTCCACCCAGCTGTGAATGGGTTTCTCGTAAGGATGAGAAAGCCACATTAACTTTGTGCGCCTAAATGGCTGCAAGAGTTGTATGGTCCTCAGGGAGTTGAGGTTGAAAAATATGATGTGCCGTTGAGATTGACATCCTATGATCGAGGGAAAAACAACGCGCATTGCTGAGCTAAGCTGGATATTGGCGCTATACAAATATCATATAATAATAATAATAATAATAAAAAAATAAAAATAAGTTTGTGTGAATTTCTGTCTCAAGGACATTAGTTGTGCTTGCTCACTTGTATAGATTTTGCATTGCTGCTTTGTTATTTCATCTCTGTATATCTTCAATTGCTGGTATTTATGTTCTGATGACTTCTGTTGGGGTAATAATTGCGGCCAACTCAGACCACAAGACAACTGGCAGTTACCGTTACCGTTCTAATAAAGATTTTTCTGATCCATAATGTGCACCTGTGTTTGTTTTCTTTTTTATGTCATAACAATCACTGTTGGTATCAACAACGAGACGGTAATTTTACTCAAAATGTTAAAAAAGAATGTTTCTATTAGCTGCAGTGAAATCGTGTGTCCCTCAGATATTTATAACTTCAGCCCGCATTATTCACAGCAATCACTATCATATTCTGTCTACTCACGCCTCGAAATAAAGTGTAACTGACAGAAAATGGATACGTATACATATGTCATAATTAATGGAGCTTGACGATCACATGTGGAATGATACTGTCCAAAAATATTCAGTGTATTATGAGATTGCCAACAGCATCAGTCAGGTACAACAATGTATTTGATAGACAGGATTAACCAGAAGCAAACTGATGTCAAGAAAGGCAAACAGTTTTTGCATCTCACTCCATTTCCTTCACACAGAGTTTTGATCCAAAACTCATTCAAACATTGCAAAAGATTGATGTCAGTGAATGTTTCTTATTGAAATGAGGCAATGTAAAGAGCAAGTTAATGAAATATAACAAAAATTATTGAAACCATAAACCTTGAGATTCACGACCTCATGACAGTAGAGTCAATGGAAGCTGACCTTCTTGATTGTGATATGGCGGCCATCTTGAATTAAAAATGGCGGCCATTTTAAATTCAAGATGGCCGACATCGGTAAATAATTAAAATATTGTACATTTTGTTGAAAGTAGGCTTGTTTATAAATGAAAATACTAACCAGTATGAAGATAAACCAAAAATTTGTTATGAACTATGTAGCCGTGACAAGCGCATTCATGCTGAAATGTGGGTGAAAGGACAATAGACCCCACCCCCAACACCATGCACAAAAAATATATTTCCCCAACCTTGATTTTCTTTGGGTTTTTTATGGTGACCAATAACACCCTTCTGGTCAGGTTAAAACACAAATTTGGCCTGTTATCAGAAATGTCTAGGTTCAGTGCAGTTTCTACTGGCCTATCAAGGGCATTTGGCAGTGATGCACATAAAGAGAACAATTTATGGATGTTATTTTTTTATTTTGAGGAACACCTTTTGTACAGTCAGAAAAGATCTGTATAAATCTCCTGTATAATCTGTTGATATTGACAAACTTAATCATAGGTACATTGACCATTCCGAATAATACAATATGTTCAATCATTTATCAACTATGAACAGTATATGAAATACATTTGAAACATATGCATCTGTGTACTTAATAAAAGGAACAATAAACAATATATTTGCAAGAAAAACATAACGACAAATAAAGTTTACAAGAAATAGAAAACTAAAATGCATCAAAACTCTACTCGCATGCTCTCGTTTTGTCATATTTATCATATGTACATTGAATAATACAGCATGTTCAATCATCTGTTAACTTTGAACACAATATAACATACATTTGAAACTTCCAATCACATATACATCTGTGTACTTAATAAACGTAACAATAAACAATATATTTGTAACAAAAACAAAACGACAAATAAACTTCATAAGAAATAGAAAACAAATGAGTTAAATCTCTACTCACATACTCTCGTTTTACCCTATTCATTCACGTAGATAGATACACAACGTCAAGTTTAGATTAGAACCAGTCTCGGTTATCTGACGTTATGGATTCGATTGTGTATGAAAATGCAAAATAGCAGTTACAAAAATTACAAAGATTACGAGGATAAGCAATGCCTCTAAAAGGGTAAGCATGTTTACCCTAAAGGTAGGAACCACCACATGTATTTGTAATAAGGATGCAAACGCCCTGACAAGTACAATCTATGGAATGAATTGGAAAACTGTGTCAATATATACTACCACACCTGAGAGAAGATATACAGAGAAGGGGCATGGTAAATGATTCTACCTGTATTTTAGCTTTTCAGAAAACAACGATGTGTTTTAGTCTAAACAAATTCATATATAACAGACATGTAAGTGATAAAAGCTATTCTAATTTTCTGTGCGATGTTTTATGTTTCGCTCAAAACGTAGTTGATTCTGTTTAGCAAATCTCTGGGTTTAACATCTGTATACTACAGTCATTTGGTTGTGCATGTGATGAATCATATCGGTTTGTATTCTGATATGTATACACATCAGCAGTTACACATATTCTCTGAATGTTCACGTGCTGGTTATTTAAGATATTTTTAGGTATTTTGGGTATAATGAACCATAATCACGCTGACAAATAAGTACAACATGAATTTTCAAAGTGTTCGAATATGTACGAATTTTACAATACGACACGATAATGTCTCTTAAAATGTTTTCTTAAAACTTCTGATTCATGTTTACTTGGATTAACATTCGAAATTGACATATTTGGCAGTAATGTCGTTGATGTTGATGTCGCAAGGTGTGGAGTTAAATGTAAGTCTCCGTGCACGTGTCTTCACCTGGTGCGACTCGAGCGACAATATCAGGCTCCGCGTAGATGTTCCTGGAGATTGAAGGAGCATCAGCTCCTAGTTCTGCAACTGGCTTCATCTTCCTCCGGCTACAATAATATATTGAAACACATTGTAATGACCATAGTTAGCCTTACGTCAATCTGAAAATACATCCACAAAGCACATATTCTAAAAAAATACCCAGTCTGCATCTTCCTTGTTCGGCAAGACATGATGATTTATTTAGGATAAAGACTCGTGAAGGTCCAGGGTAGAATTAGTCTTCTTGCTTGCCGTAAGACACGACTAACAGAATCGAGTGGTCAGGTTCGCTGACTTTGTTGACACATGTCATCGTGTCCCAGTTGCATAGTTCGATGTCCTTGCTGTTGATGACTGGATTGTCTGATCCATGATTTTTCCATATCCCCGCCAAATAGTATAATGTTGCCGAGTACCGCAATAGTGCCATATATCTAGTCCTGTGTGAGTGTAATCCTCAACAACTGAAGCATGTTACTTGAACAGTACTAGATCAAGACTAGGACCGTGTCAGTGATCTAAAACTTAAGATTCTTCCGAAATTTTCAAAGGGCAATGTCCTTATGCCACGCTGTTTGTCTAGGATGCTAAAAAAAATGAGGACCGGATGGTGAGATTAAACAGATTATCTTGCTCATGCATCCAATCACTACTTCCATGTCCGTGAAGGTACATTTAGTTAGAATGTTGCCATTGGCAGCACCTAGTAATGCTTGCAGTAGTAACTATATTATGTGTCTGTAACGTTGCTATCAGCGATGCTTGCAGAAAGTGTTATCATGTTATTTTTTTAAGAACTGCGATTTACTGTAAGCAGACAAATACTTACGTGTAGAATACATATGCCGCAAAGGCGACCAGGAGAGCCACAATAACGATTCCACAGACTACACCCACAATCACTGCAGCGTTGTTTGGACTGTCAGCTGAAATTTACATATTTGTCTTAGGAAAGGAAGAGATATATTACGTACAAAGGACTGTGATATTTCTGTAGAATTCACACGTCAAGATATACAGACACACTGCCGTGCTAGCAAACGTTTGACAGTCATTACTGAGTGATGTCAACGTCAAGTGCATCACAAAATATACATTGACGTAGTTGCCTTTTTAAGATAAGGCGAAAACCATACTCACTCACTTTAAGATTAAGAATGCCATTTCTATGAATCATGCATTTCGAATAGAAATATTTTTTCTCACGTCTTATACACGAGAGTTTGAACAACGCTTTGACATCATTCATTTTTCAGCGCAAACACACAAAGAGACATTAAATTCCTATAATTTCGCACTTTGATGTTTACACATACGTTTTTTACCCACTTCTACATGATCATTGTTTACAGTGATGTGTTTTAATACCTGTAATATGTTGTAATGTCATTCTGTTCAAGACCCTATTGTAGCGGATGTTTGTATACTTGGCGATTTTTTTACACATGTATCCCAACCCTTGAAGAAATAGTTCTAAAAAGTATTCCTTAAAATATTACAACAAATTCGTCAATAGGTTTGAAACTGCTTTAATAAGCATAACATCAATAAAATTATCAAACAGAAACAAATATCATAACAATATCATTTTAACAAACTGTCATTGTACCTATAAAACTATGACGGATTCGTTTGACCGCGTAATAATACACTGGCCGACTTCGAAGTTGTTTTTAAACAGATCACGGGGCAGAACCCGCAAACCGCGAGAGATTAAACTCTCGTGATAAGGAACAATGCTCGGCAATTGGAAATCCGTTTGGTCGTGAAGAAGCGACATTGCCAAAATTGGGGTGACTTGAAACAGGATCGCTCGCTAAATTGTCATCACCAAATACAGCAAGATCATTGGGGTTCCTTGAAACCGTAGCGGAAATTTGAAAATTAGGTCGCACTGGCTGGGACTTGTTGTCGGATTTGCTGTCGGACGCGTTGTCGGTCGCGTTGGCGGTCAGATTTTTGCAAAACTGTGCTCAGTTGGTGCTTTTTGTTACATACAAAAACAAGTAAGTGATATGTATAAATTAAAAGGAGTGTGAATGCAAATGATTTATTTTGTTTACGTCAAGCTGGACAGCGAGTATCCTGGGGAAAACACGGAAAGTAGTTCCGGCGAAAGTTCACATGACCAAGATCGGCTCGAAAACGTTCACACACGTATGAACGATGTTTACACACGTATGAACGATTTGAAAGGTTCAAGGGAAATGAACCTTGAAATGTAGATCACATGATTGCTCTCTCAGCCAACCAACGTTCGGGAATCTGTGTAAACTTCAAAGTACCAAATTATATGGTTATAAAGGCATAAATAGCACAGCAGAGTAGGGCTGGGACGGGTAGGAAAAAATGGAATCGAGTACTCGCATGTACTTACCCGAATCGGAATCGAGTACCCGGAAATGTAAGGAATACAACGCTTCTGTCAACTTTCTGAATATTCAATTATAGAAAACTTATAAGGGTGTCAATAAGACATTACAATGATCTCAAGCTGTATAATTTACGTCTGTTTAACCAATATAAAGAGTAACACCATTACTTACATTGCTCGTTAAAGGTCACATGCAACGTAAAAGACAACTTTGCAGATTCTGATACCTTTCGGTATGGAGTTACCGAAACAAATTATCAAAAATACAAATTCAACTTATAAAGTTGAAAAATAACGCGATGAAAAACGATTTCAAATGATTTCACTAATTTTCCCCCGACTTTTCGGGGGAAAACGGGTTTCAACAGCTGGGCTGCGCTCATAGCACGTGCGCAGTGAAATAGGTTCGCGCAACTTGGAAGCGGGCTGTCCGGTGAACTCTCGGTGAAGGCTTTGGTGTGAGCTATTTTCTAAATATTTTGTTGATATCTCACAGGCGCAAGCTTTTTATATGTTATAACAGTAAATAAACTGTTTCTGTAATTTCATTTGTCTATTTCACCACACGTTCTTCTTACCGAGTCACTTTCTCAGTTCGATACTTAAAAGCAATGTCATTATTTAGAGTTGACACAATTTCTAACTGTGATATAGATATGTCGCTGTCACAGACAAAACTCAATGTCTTGTTTTATTGACACCTGTGTGTCTGCCTGCCTGTCTGCTAATGACCATATTCAATACACAACTGCGACCACTGACCACATGCAATTTGAATTTAACACCAATCAGGCTATACACCATAAACACAACGCATTGATTTATGGCCCGAGTTTGGTCTCTTTCACATTATGTAATTACACAGGCAGGCAGGTGTGATACTTGAACACATGACATGTTTTGATGTCTGCAAAATGTTATACACAAAAACTGAGCCGTGAGGGCATCTGCAAATGCACCAGCTGTTACACTTGAGTGCACACCCACCCGCTCTGACTGGGTTCGTTATCCCGGCTGCTTCGTTTCTTGGGAAGTAAACCCAAGTACACAATATTGCACTTTGGATTTGCGTTGTACGCTTATAATTTTGTTTATATGTTTTTTCATAACCAGCAATGCATATTATATGTCATGAATAAGTGATAATTTTGTTTTAATTATGTTTGATTTTTTTGGTTGCATTTGACCCTTAAAATAAACTTTTCGTTCCTACTGTTACTGTAACTTGACTAGTCACTGCACATACGCAGATAAATTACAGTCGTTAATAATAACCTCCATTAATCGGACAAAACCAATGATGTAAATGTGATACGTTATGATGAAAACGACAAGTTATTATCTGCCCTTGTCATTACAGAGTTCTCTCCCTTTCCGGGTACTCGATTCCTAGAAATAGGACTCGATTCCGGCTGTACCCGACCCGGATTCGAGTACCCGAGTACCCGTCCCAGCCCTACAGCAGAGGCAACATATACTCAAAGAATGACAGCCTGGGATGTATGCCTATCTCTAACATGTACAGTTACTTTCTGGCCAGGTTTTACAACGCTTACATAGGGATATTTATGGTGACCAAGAGGGAAATTACATTATTGCCTTCTGTTACGTCCGTCCGTGTAAAGGTATTGTCACCACAAACAGCATAAACAGATTTTCTACATTAAGAACAGCAATGTCCATTCTAGCATTTAAGTGGAAATATATTCTTTCACGCCGTTCACACGGTCACAAATCAAAGCATGAAATGGCACTGAGCATTGGAGAGTGGTGACATATAGTAGTATGACAGAGCTTTCTCTTCCGCAGCTCCCCAACTCTTGAACAGTCTTCCCCTATCACTCAGATCAGCACTGGCAACACAAACTTAAAATCAGCTCTAAAGTATACAGAAACTGACTATATCTGTGTTTCTGTCTTTACAACATGTTTCTTTTAACTTTGTACAGCGCCACTGATCACCTTAATGATCGATTTTAGGCACTACAGAAATGAGTGAGTAAGTTAATATTTCAGCCATATCGTGACGAGGACATTTTATAAATTAAAGATGAATATATTTTGAAGATTAAGACCTGTCGACGATGGACAGTAAATGCATTGTTTAACATGTAGTGAGAGAATATTCTACACATTCCTTTTGATACAGGCCTATAACGTATTCTCATCTTTCACATATATAATTTGTCCTTTGACAAGTTTCACAAAGGAGCAAATATAATCTCAGTAATAATAATTTCATGGCGGGAAATACATATAAACCTTTACATGACTGGTACATTATTGACAAAGTTCTACTTGTATACTGATCCAATTCCTTTCCTTCATCTTAAACAACATAGACATCTTTGCAGTATCAAGAGTGGTAATCGTACACAGATATACTACCAGTATAAACACCGCTAGGATGGGCGAAAAGACAGAGAGTGAAAGCATATCAACCATGAAGTTGCTTTGGTTAGCTTCATCTGTGACACAGCTGATCAATCAAACAAGAATATCAAACTGATTCCTCACCTTGAAACATTCCACTGGAATTTAAGTTGCTTCCATTTCCATCTGGTGCAGAGTCCCCTGGAATGATTCGGTAAAGCTTGTCTTGATATGAACGAGTCTTTACAAGTAGTACATATATTCGCTCAGTACAGAAGATGAAGTTGTTTTTATGACAATTTTGGCATTGTTTCACTTTTCAGTTGCCTACTCACATAGATATATAATCTTTAAAAAGTAGTGGAACCTGAACTTTCACAGAGTGAAAACATATCACCCATCAATTTGCTTTTGTTAGTTAAATCTGTGATAGAGCAGTTTTCAATCAATCAAGAAAATCACATTAATTCCTCACCTTGAAACATTCCACTGGTATTTAAGTTGCCCATTTCATCTGGTGCAGAGTTTTCTGGAATCATTCGGTAAAGCTTATCTTGATTCGAACGAGGCATTGCAGTATACTAAGTAGTACATATATTCGCACAGTACAGAAGATGGAGTTGTTTTATGCCAATTTTGGCAATTTTTCACTTTACAGTTTATCACATAGATAGATGTTGTTACAAAAAGTAGCGGAACCTGAACTTTCAATTTGGATAGGAAGTAAAAGCTTATCGACACGCTAATTCAGTTGTTGGTTTTTAGCTTTAAAGAATCATCTTTATATATCTATGGGGACATGTACATGGATAGATTATAGACAAAAGGAAGAGAAATCAAGTGTCCACCTATAATTGAGATAAATGCAACATTGAAATGCAGGATGTTAATCTCTACATATAACTTGTTTGAGTGGCATTTTTAGAAGTTGATACGTACAATATAGAACAAGTATTTATGGATAACAATTTCTTTATTTCGTGAGTGCAACGTTTCTATACAGTGTCACTCTTGCTTGACAACGGTACAAGAATCTGTATCGAAACGTCTCACTCACGAAATAAAGAGTGTCACTCTTGTTCTATATTGTACGTATCAACTTCAATTCGTTTCGATACAGATTCTTGTACCGTTGACAAGCAAGAGTGTCACTCTTGCTTGACAACGGTACACGAATCTGTATCGAAACGTCGCACTCACGAAATAAAGAAGTTGTTTTCCATAAAAACGTGTTCTATATTCTCGAGATATATATGTACATTAGACAAACCTGTATCTCGATATGTCCTAAAACTGTATCCTCCGTTGTATAGGGTCTTTCTATAGTATCCAAGGACAGCAAAGGTAGAATTAGAACGGATGGTTGTTGTGTATCCTCCACCTCTCAATGTTCCCACTTTGTATCTTGTACCTGACAGATTCTTCCATGTCACGGGAGGGATGAAAACTGTAGAGACAGTGTCATGGGTTTGTTGAACGTCCACATTGTTGTTTTCTTGGTCTGTCAATATCTGCATGGTACCTGGGGCTTCTTGCGTTGTTAACTTGGAGTAGAGGCTCACAGGGGGCACTACAACTAACCCAGCATCACCGCCAAGGTATTTATTAGCACACAATGTCGCCATGGCTGGTCTTGTGGTGTTGAAGTAGAACGATTCCAAATGTCCATATTCTTTGCGATACACTCCAAGTTCACCCACTGATATGATATCACCGTCATCAAACATGATGCTGGTGTCACTGTGGTCAGTAACAACTTGAAGTTGGTATGAAGAGGCCGATAAGTATCGTTGAAGGTCATAATCATAGATAGAGAAAATATATTCATTTCCATAATGCTTCACAGGCAGTAATTGCTCGAAAGTTTTAAATACGTCATACATGTATGTTCCACTATAGACAGCTATTGTCTCCGTTGACATAACGATGGTTCCTGTCATATCAGATGTACTGTTTAAGGATAAAGTCTCATACCCAAATAATCTGATACTGAGAGTGTCCCCGTTGGTGTACTTCTTGCCATTATAGGCAACGTAGCCTTCCAGTCTAAAGATGATGGCAATATCCGCCATCTTGCTGTGTGTGGCTATCAGCAAGACGGACATGTAACGCGGTGTGCGACAGGAAGACATGATGTATTTCGTGCCTAGAGCCGTCACAGGAAGGGGAGAGAACGAGGTTTCATAGTTCAGGTTACCTTTGATCTGAACAGCATCATCCCTGACCAACACAAGCACAAGAATTACTGTGTAAGCTTGGACAATGGGGTAAAAGTAGTCTGTGTTGTATGGATTAAAGCACCGGGACCAGACCCGGAACCTAGAGTTTAGATCCTGTATCTGCCATTGACCTCCATTCTCCCAAGCACTGGCGAGTATCCGAGGATCTAATCTGTGGTTGCCCTTAGCCAGTGCCATCAAGTACGTTGGACCTGTAAGTCATAGTAATATTTATGTACTTGATATCCTGATAACTAAATTTAACAAGGTTATCACAATATCTTTCTCTGACACATAAGAATGATTGGGCGGGTTAATTCAAAGCAAAACTCACTAACACACAATAGAAACAGAGAGCATGTCATTGACATAGGTCAGTGAAGCCATTATCAACATCGAAAGTACAGTGAATGTCTTATAACCTTTTGAAAATTAGTTTAGTAACGCCATGGCATGTAAGCAAATTGTTGGAAGCAATTTCAAAGTGATACAGGTTTTAGATGTATGGATTCAACAAATACGCGGAGATGTGGTACTGACAAAGATGCGTCATTATCATGCTGAATCTATACTTGACAAAATAAGTTAGGGATATTGGTATTTTTATCATTATCATTTTATCTGTATGTCAATTAATTACGGAAGCGTAGTAGTGCCACGGTGAATTTTTTTGGGGGGTCTCACTATCTCCTACGTAGTACTTAATATCTCTTACGTAGGACTTAACATCTCCTACGTAGGACTTAGTATCTCCTACGTAGGAGTTAGTATCTCCGAAGTTGGTATCTCCTACGTAGGACATAGTATCTCCTACGTAGGACTTAGTATATCCTACGTAGGACTTACTATCTCCCACGTAGGACTTAGTATTTCCTACGTAGGACTTAATATGTCCTACGTAGGACTTAATATCTCTTACTTATGACTTAGTATTCGCCACGTAGGACTTAGTATCTCCCACGTATGACTTAGTATTTGCCACGTAGGACTTAGTATCTCCTACGTAGGACTTAGTATCTCCTACGTAGGACATAGTATCTCCTACGTAGTACTTAATATTTCCTGTAGGAGATGATCGATATACGTTTATATGGATTAATTTGAAACAGTCGACTTAAAGCCCCAGACACGCACATAATCTCCTGTTTTACTGTTTAAGTCACTGTAAGAGTCTACAGTCATTCGTTTCATTGACTATTAGAGTCTACAGTTATGTGTTTCATTTACTGTTAGAGTCTACTATCATGTGTTTCAATTTACTATTAGAGTCTACTGTTTCCTCACTATTAGAATCATGTGTTCAACTAATTGTTGCACATTAGTACTGTGATGGACCGACTGTTATACTTTACTGCCTTGCTTTCAGTTTGCTCTACTATTACGCGTTGCAGTTAGTTCACTGTTATATGTTGCACTTTGTTACACTTTACTATTATGCATTGGGTATTTCAGAGGTCGTTGCACATGAATCATAATCTGCGTGTACAGACGTGTCTTAGACTATAGGTGGCAATCTGTGTGCACGTATCCCCTTATATTTATACAAATAACTATAGTGACAATTCTTTCCCTTTTTGAATTTCGTATTGTTTTACGCCGCAGTCAACACTTGTCCAGTCAAGTCAACCTGTAAACAATTACGAATAAAACCCAAACGAGCGTTGCATCCGATCCAGCCTAGCCTTATAAAGACAAGAAACAACTTGCGGAGGTCGTGTTATAACCCGAGTTTCATATCACACCCCAACCATCCCACCCACCTCTGTCTGTGTGTGTGTGTGTGTGTGTGTTTGTGTGTGAATAGATGTATGTATGTTAGATTAAACATAACCATACCCAAACCTCCATAACTGCAATTAGAACAGGGTCCACGTCACCCTAACGTAATACACACACAATAACACTGAACAGTAACACTGCGTTAGTGTCATGAATATTCACTGACTCTCATTTCGACTATCTAACGTCCTGCATAGCCAAAAAGATCTCAACTTAATAAGTCCTACGTAGGAGAAAGTAAGTACGTAGGAGAAAGTAAGTCCTACGCAGAAGATAATAAGTCCTACGTAGGAGATGCTAAGTCCTACGTAGGACTTAGTATCTTCTACGTATTTTCCTACGTAGGAGATGCTAAGTCCTACGTAGGAGATACTAAGTCCTATGTAGGACATATTATCTTCTACGTAGGACTTAGTATCTCCTACATAGGAGATAGTGACCCCCAAAATAAATTTCACCGTGGCCCTACTACGCTTCCGTAATTAATAAATAGATCATTATTCTTTTTAATTTACATGTATCCCTCACTATGTTTGTCCAGTATACCTCCCACAGCGGTGCTTCAGACATCTGGATCGACCAGGAAAACATAACACACATGTACAAATTATAGAATCTGGGTGTGAACTTATATTCAAGACATTATGAGCTAATAACCATAACATAATTAAGGAAACTTCCACATACCTGTATAATGTACTGGTTCATCTACAGAAACTTTGTAGCAGTTTTTATAGACCGATCCGTTATAGAAGGACAGAACTGTGAAGGGGAAGTCGCTGGATATGAATGTAAATGAATGTCCGAACAGTGAATGTGACTGTGACGGTACCAGTGTGCCAACTTTGTATCTGCTGCCCCTCATATCCAACCATGTCAGACCATCGTTTACCTCCTTAATCAACACCGTTGCTCTCGTGTCAGTTAGTATTTTTAGTTTTACACGAAGATTGTTATGATATAACCAGACTCCTTTGTGTGTGACGTACGAGTGTACAGGTGGTACAGTTGTGAAGGCACTACTGTAACCATCTGCTCGACTGAGTGTCACCAGTACCGGGCGTGTGGCGGTGAAGTGAAGACTCTCTCCACGTTCAAGTGAGCGGTTATAGAGACGACGCTCGCCAGTAGAGACTGTGGCTCCAGAACTGAAGGTGACCTGCACGTGGTTGTGTTCACTGATGATCTGGAGCTCCAGTTTGGTGTCATCTACAGCAACAACATACTCCTGTCCGTAGTGCTTGACTGGCGGTAGTTGGTCATACACAGTGTACTTAGAGGCATATTCAATACCACTATAGACGGCTACGCTGTGTTCGCTGTTAATGACCGTTCCGTTCAAATCATATGGTGTAGATATCCTAAAAGTTTGATACGGATTGAGTTTAAGCGATAATACATCGCCGTCACTGTAACGGTGATTGGTAAAGTCAATGCTTCCTCTATCCATTCGAAAGAATATATCAACTGTAGTGCTCTTCGTGTGTGTAGCTATTAGTAACAAGGATCGATAACCACTGATTGGGGAGAGACCTGAAGGTAAAATGTACTTCGTTCCAAGGGCAGATACTGGAAGTGGAACGAATACACCGTCAGCATCTACCACAATGTCTATCTCTTCGTCACTTGCGCTAACAACGATAACTGCATTTTCTACATCACTCGTGATTTGCATTTTATCACCTATCAGGTGTGACCCATACCAGAAAGGATAAATAGCAAGTGATGTTCTATAAGCGAAGTGTGGATACTTGATCTCCACAAGGCCCCCAGTTTCTCCTACTGTGTACATGATGTTCGAGTAGTTTCCTCTATATGCCACTGCCACCAAGTAGTCTTCACCTGTAAAGTCAATTCAACATGAAATTACATCCACGCATATAGTCTTGATCATGTAATTGATGGACTATGATCAACTTGATGCGCAAAACACAAAATAACTGTGTCCCACCATTCGCGGGGTCAATAATGACACTGCTTGAATGATATTTGGCAAGAATCCACAAAGTGTCTGTGTCAGTGCCAGTCAAATAATCATGTTACCCATTGCTCTAAACCACAGCGCCTTTGTCACTGCTGTAATCTTAGTGTTCGTGGTAATATCCACCAGGCACCAGCTTACATCTCAGGCCTGCAGATACTGCACTAAGCTACTCAAAACGTCCCAAACAATTCCGCTTCAACCTCTGTATAGTCAGCAAGTGGAAATCTAGTGGAGACAACTTGCTTGGTCAGACCACTTGAACCTTTGGCATTTTCAAGTGCTTTCTGGTCCCTTTATGTGTAATAAATCTTGGTGGATTGACGTGTTAAGTAAATCATTATCTTGTGGCTATAACCCATTTTTGAATTTCTGACTGTAAGTTAATTAACGTAATAACCAATGGTTGTTACATTCCTTCAATAGCTGCACGGAGCTGTATATGGATGCGAGATAGTAAAACATGTATACTGTAATAAAATCAATTACAGGACAAGACAATAATACTCTGGTTATTGTCCTAGCAATCAAACTAAAATGATTCGTCTAATAGGCAATAAATAGTCCTTTTGAATCAGGGATCTTAATGATCATGACGCGCACCTAAGGAGGAAGCTTTTGAAATTTAAATCAATGATTGATCAGTACTCTCTGTACATAACCCAATGCTAACACAAATTATAAAGGGGTCTCGTTTACATTTCATTGAACTTGAATATCTGTTTTAGTATCTACCCGTGAAGATCTGGTTTAGACTTATCTTTTTCGTGAGAAGCGACAAGCGGGATCGGGTGGACAGGCTCGCTGACTTTGTTGAACATGTCATCGTATCCCAATGAAGTAGATCGATGTTCATGCTGTTGATCACTGGATTGTCTAGTTCAGACTCGATTATTCACAGACCACCGCCATATAGCTGGAACCTTGCTGAGTGCGACGATTAACAACAACCAATCCAATCCTAAAGTATCTAGTACCTAAAGTATCTAGGTATGCGTTTTAAGACAGACAATAGACACGTCAGTGCTATCGTCTCCTTAATGTGAATGTTGTTTTTTCGATTCTTCACACAAACCTTTAAACTAACTTTTCCTTGTCTCCTTTATTGCGGTCCTGCAGATTTTAAAGAAGGGTTGATGTATTTTAAGTGGTTGATTTGAGGAGAAGTGATGTGAAATTCTAGTGAGTCGGGTTTTACGCCGCTTTTAGCAATATTCCAGCAACATAACGGCGAGGGTCACCAGAAATGGGCTTCACACATTGTACCCATGTGGGTAATCGACCCCGAGTCTTCGGCGAAAGCTTCAACCACTAAGCTACCAAATCACCCATTCTTGGAAGAAGTTGGCGGTCACGCAACAGTCTGAAATTGGGAAAGAGGAGGACCTGCCCGTTTTTACATTTTGTGCAAATGCCAGTTTTGAAACACATGACATTTATCCCCATTTAACCATGGCCGTTTTAAAAACGAACTCGTCTGTGAAAGGGGCAGTAGGTGTCTTAATTAGTGGATTTTCATAACATTGTGACGTAATAAAACAAACAACTATAGTCTGTCATTACATTTTTTACGAGGGGGACCTCTTGCTGGTAGAACACCCAGATTTTAAAGAAGGGTTGATGTATTTTAAGTGGTTGAATTGAGGAGAAGTGATGTGAAATTCTAGTGAGTCGGGTTTTACGCCGCTTTTAGCAATATTCCAGCAATTTAACGGCGAGGGTCACCAGAAATGGGCTTCACAAATTGTACTCATGTGGGTAATTATAAAATTCTAGCACGGTGGGTGCACATCGATTTTGAACGTATTCAGATCAAATCCGCTAAATCTTATCGATATATAATGTTTAATGTAAAACCGATCAACTGATAGTCTTTGATCTTCGTAGCTACACCTTGAGTAAATGATTTTCAAAAACATATTTACTTTGTTAAAGCGTCACTATCATATTGATGATACATAGAGAGTATTAACCGAGTGTGTTTCCGTATCATTGATATCGTATGTTAGGAATAGAAATTGTACTTATACATATCTTCTGTTCCTTAAGTATGATATTAACACACGAGGTTAATAACCTCTTTATCATATAATGTTATTCCTAAAATAACTTAAATTAATATGAGGAGAATCGAGCAGTCGTGTAAGAGTACTAAGCGGTACACTAAGGTGAAGTTCGTTTGTGACGGCGGCATATTGTTGTGACTCGTCGCTAACATAGTGCAAACATAACTCTTGCTTAAAATAAGATCTTTCCGTCTAAAAAATCAAACTCGGGCAGTTCACAACAGAAAATATGAAATTCCATTCTAAACAGTAAGTAGTTTGTGTACTGGCCTAATTTGCATATTTATCAGATTTGGATACCAAGTTTACCAGATTGCTTTATTGCACCGATAACACCCTCCATTATATGATAAAGTGTATAAACGTAGATCCAGGGAGAATAACAAGTGTTACTTACCCTTGCCGGTCTGCAGCACCGTCAAAAGAAACACCAAACTGAAGCCCTTGTAAACCATCCTCTCCATGGACTGTTCCAGTTTCCTGACAGAACCAAAAAATGAAGTTCCCAGATTTTTGCTGAAATGTCTGGTGGCTAAAATCAAATCATTGCCCGAATTATCGACACAAGGGCTCTTTACAACACCATGATTTTACATCCTATTTTACAGGGGACTCCTTTTGTCAGCTAAAATATATCACATATCAATAAGTCTTGAAATGACGCTAAAGGATTAGTTTCTTGCCACTTCGTGGACGCGCACAAGCTGGTTAACATCCACTGGTTTCCTGGCTTAGACAAATGACTCTGCTTACAGGCTCTTCAAAGGCTGGAATGAGTTTGAATTTCGCTACAAGTTTTGTTCACACGTGCACCCAAATGATCTAACTAAGGAGTATCACATGCTAACCTCAAAGCATATAGATTTAAAAGAACAATTTGATGAAAACACTTCCATTCAGTATCAACAGGAATGGCCTTCGTTGAAAAAGTAGCAAACTAGACCATTGTCAACATTTTGGAAAGGAAGCGCCATATTGCCAACGGTTTTGAGTTCTTGATCCTTTGAAATTAATCAGCAGGTTCCCACCCAGACTTGTTCAGAGAAAGGTTGAACAAGTGTAATCTGCTTCGAAATATCAAACATTATATCAGTCGTTATACTGAGATAGACACTGTCTTCTTAATTTCTTTGTCAGTTTGATTACTAATTGTTTAATGGTTTCCCATAATCACGTTTGCTCTTTCAGAATTTCTTTGAAGCCATATCATCATGGTTTTTCATCGTGCAGCCCGTCGACAACGCCTCATACAGGAAACCGGGCCATTTTGCGGAGGCTCTGTCATGGTATGGGTATGCTGTTCATGTGACCGCAAGCTTGACTTGGTTACAGTTCGGGGTGCATGTAATGGACAAAATGACCAAAATGCTATTCTGGTCGATATGTTGTGTCACTTATGGAAATCACCCACTGGTTGTGTGCCTGTGTTCAACAGAATCTTCATGACCCGATTCATGTCAACTCCCCCAGTTGAATATTAGTTGTCGGATCTGGAGCACAAGGAGGCCACTTGCTATTGTGATCCGTATAGGGGAAAGCTATTCCTGGTGTTGACAGGAGCTGGTGACACTGACTCTGTGATGTGAAGTCATTAAGACACTTCACTCCACTATAGTCCGTTTGGCTCCAAATCGGACCGATGAATCGCAATCTAACTCGAAAACTACTAAACATATAATACTCAATGACACACTGATCACAATCAAAACATCAGACCAACTCTGTGATTTCCTTTCAGAATTTATGTCCTGGAAATATTACAGTTGTTTAATAAACTATCATGACAATCTTGACACAGTTCATCATTTGTTGCGAGGGAGGGGTGCAAAGAGAGGAACAGCCAGGTGTGCGAGAAAGGACGGAGCTGGCACAGCACAGGTTAATGAACCAATGACTTTGTCGGCACTTGTGCAGGTGCTTCGCGTACACCTGGCTGTCAACTTGTTTGGGTGGTATTTAGACATTGGTGTGATGAACAACGAGGAGAGTTCTATGGATAGACAACTTCTTTAATACCATATGAGCGACTTTTCGGTGTAGCTACTAACACCGTTACCAAGCAAATGATGTACAATACTGGATGCAAGGTGTATTTATATACATAGTAAAGTTGAACAGTAAGTGATTGATGTTTACACAATTAATGAGGTTGATGTACAAGGTTGGGGGATGTTTACAGAAGCCAATAGTTATACATTAACAGAGTAGCTATGGGGGATTATTGGGAGGAAGTCGATTGTTCCTCCCCCTTGCAGTCCTCCCCCATAACAAATAGTGAACTGTATCAAAATTTTAATGATGGTTTTATAAACTGCTTTTTTTATGTTTAGGTCATAAAGTCTGCAAAAAAATCACAGAGTTAGTCTGATGTTATGATTATGATTCGTGTTTCATTGAGTATTCTATGTTTAGTTGTTTTCGAGTTAGATTGCAATTCATCGGTCCGATTTTGAGCCAAACGTACTATAAGACACTATCCTTCTCATCACTGCCAGCTAACATAGATATTTTACCCACATATATTCTTCTTCAACAATCCGGGGCGGTGGGGTAGTATAGTGGTTAAAGCGTTGGCTCGTCGCGCCGAAGACCCGGGTTCGAGTCCCCACATGAGTACAATGAGTGAAGCCCATTTCTGGTGTCCCCAGCCGTGATATTGCTGGAATATTGCTAAAAGCGGCGTAAAACCAAACTCAGTCAGTCAGTCAGTCTTTAACAATCCCCGACGTCATTAATACATGTATATTCTTACATGTATCTCATCTCAAATTGTTTAAACAAATTCCACGTCCTCT